GCTGATCCCTCACCTTTCTCAGGATCATTGATACTCCACGAGGCGAGAGCTTGCATGGAGCCCCAGTCCAAGGGAGATTGACAGTCATCTTGAATTTCTTCCATTTTCTAATAATTGCGCCAACAGTTGTTGCCTTCTTACCAAGCTGTTTGCCTATTGTCCTGTAGCCCATTCCAGCCTTGTGCAAGTCTACAATTTTGTCCCTAGTGTCCTTGGACAGCTCTTTGGTCTTGCCTATAGTGGAGAAGTTGGAGTCTGATAGATTGAGTGTGTGGACAGGTGTCTTTTATACAGGTAGCGAGTTCAAACAGGTGCAATCAATACAGGCAATGAGTGGAGGATAGGAAGCTTCTTAAAGACAAACTAACAGGTCTGTGAGAGCCAGAATTCTTGCTGGTTGGTAGGTGATCAAATATTTATTTCATGCAATAAAATGGAAATAAATTATTTGAAAATCTAACAATGTGATTTACTGGAATTCTTTTGTAGATTCTGTCTCTCACAGTTGAGGTGTACCTATGATGAAAATTACAGATCTGTCTATTCTCTGTAAGTGGGAAAACTTGAAATATCGGTGGTGTATCAAATACTTATTTGCCCCACTGTATGTAAATTTAACAGTTGTATTAAATAATCCAAAAACAAGACCTAATAAAGGCCAGGCAGACAAAACAATGAAAAACCAGAGCCAACTACAAAATGGCAAACAGGATCAGGCATGCAAAATGACAGAATAACAGTAAGGCAGTGTATCAAATACTTATTTGCCACACTGTACATTATCATACCAAAACATTTTAGAGGTCATGCATGTCAAGATATCATTGCAAAGATAATACTCTGGAGTTTCATTCTGTATATTGTTCTTACTCCTAGTCCAACCATGGTTAAGTTATACAGTGTTTGAATCTGTCTTTAGCATTGGTCATTTGCTCATTCTTGAAACACTTAAAAATATTTCTGTTCCTGACAAAGACCTCTAGAGGCCATTTTAATAAGGACTGTGATGCTCTTGTTCAAAACAAGGAAATGCTAGTAGCAGTAGTTTTGGAAGTTTATGAGGATGTATTTTTTTGAATAGTTTGAAAGACATTCCCTTCAAACATGAATTGCAAATGCAAAATGCTTGCATTTGATAATCAGAGAGCATACAGTTAGTGTATGTTGTTTGCTGTTGTGCCTCTAATGAACTGACTCCCATACCATCATAATCAATTTTGCCATCATTGTTTTTGTCTCCATCCCTCATCAGCTCCTCAATGTCATCTTCGGTGATGGCTTCTCCAGTGGACTGCAGCATGGTCTTCAGCTCCTCTAAGTCTATGTAGCCGTCTCCATTCCTTAACATAAGATAAATCAGTTGTATTGTCATCTATAAGCCTTCTGAGTGTACTGAACCATGTCATTTCTCTCTAATATGGTCTGTCCTGTTGAGGTTTGGGTATTGGTGGAAGTCACCCTAAATATCAGTTTGACTTTAGTGAAATTTAAATCATCTGTCAAGTCTACTAGTGAAAGTCAGCATTGATTGCTTTTACTCGATTGGTGATATTTACTTTTAATTTTTTAGTGGCTCTGTGCAGTGCATCAACAGATACAAATAAAAACCTACTTGTCAAACATGCGGAAAAGTTCAGCCAACTCCTCTTCTGGTTTTCCTTTGCCCTCCTCCTTCATGCATCGAACCATCATAACCAAGAACTCATCAAAATCTACTGTGCCACTGCCTGTGAACAATGCACCATAACAAACCTCTCAAAATCCAATTTTCCCCTTAAATTTACATTCAAGCTGCTTTAGTGTTGTTCAAAGAATTTTCTTCTACTCTGTGACAATGTGCAGTGATGAGACAAGCTTGGGGATTTTGACATACCATCTTCATCCACCTCATCAATCATTTCCTGTAACTCTTCAGGGGTGGGATTTTGTCCCAGCATCCTCATCACCTTTCCCAACTCTTTGGTGCTGATGCAGCCATCCGCTGCATCTTGGACGAATATATCGAATGCAGCCTTGAACTCTAGAAGAGACACAGCAATGTAACTGTCTGACAAGGAGACGGGTATTTAATTTACTTATAACTACAAACAGAAACTTGTGTCCTTATTTGTAACACCAAGAAAGATTGCTGACATAATTTATTATTGGAAACTTTATTCTGCATATACAGAACACTGAGTTGTTTTCTTGCCTTAGACACATTGGTATTTTACCTATAATCACTATTAGTATTAACACATATTTCTTTCCAAGAGAGGTTTTGGATAATATTATTATTCATTAAAGTATCTGGAAATTACGCAACTTTTTGTAAGTTTTGCAAATGACAAAATACACAGTACTTCTATTGTTCCTTGTTCTTTATTGCTGCATGATTTGTTTGAATTTGTAAGTCAGCTCTCTAAAATAGTGACGGTCTGAGTGTTTTATGATATAGCAGATGTCAGCTCTCATTCACTTGGTCACATTTTTTTAAACATCTGTCTTTTTTCTATCACCAGCTCACAGTTTTTCTTTATCTTACTTTTTTCTGATTAAATATTTTTAACACCAATAAATACAACAAAACATGACAGTGAACTCTCCCCCTTCTTCTAATGGCCATTCTAGTTGCATTCAGTGTTGCAGAGCAGTGACCTTTTATAGCCCAGGGACCAAATTTAGTTCCTGGCTCTGTCAGTTAAAACCAAGTATAGTTCCTCTGTTGCTACAAAGGTTTCTGAAAAGGGTTTTTTAAAAATATATCTGAGGCACAGGAAGGCTATAACATAAATCAGACTTTACCTTTCCATAGCACTGTTAGTAGTAGTAGTCACAATAGTAAATAAGAGTTATTAGTGTTATCAGTTGCAGTAACAGGTACATAATGGTAGTGATATTAACAATAAGTAACAATAAATAGTAGTAGTAGTAGTAGTAGTTTCCTCACCATTTTTTTGTTCCTCTGTCAAGTTCTCAACCTGAAGGGAAACAAAATCAGGATTAACACTATACATGTCATTGTGTTTTTCACAGTAGCTAACTTCTTTTTAACACTCTATAGTTGGAAAATAACTTCAACTGAACTATACTGATCATTGTGCTGCTCTCAGTGTAGTATGTCACACTGCTGTGTTCTTCACGTACTATTTTTGGGATCCAAAAGCGGGTGTCACCTATTTGTTTTAATTGCCATCAGCTGTCCTCCACCAACCCCCTCCTCGAAATTGTCTAAGTGCTCTTTGTTCTATTGTCAGGCACAGAAATATGACCTAACCACAGCAGTCTGTCACTGTGCTTTATCTGGGCTTGTCACACTTATACTACCAGTCAAATGTTGGGACACACTTTCCCATTCAATGGGAAAGTATGTGTACATACTGTACTTTTGACTGTTTTAGACTGCTAGTATATTAAAGGAACAAGCAGAAACTTGTTTTTCTGCTATCAAATCATAGAAATTAAATTTTTATAAAAATAGAACTAAAAAGTGGTCATCACAGGAAGACATACCATAAACCTGTCAGACTATTGTGAAAAAACAGAAACATGACAGCAGTCACTGCAGAAGGAACTCATTACCTCAAAAATTCTCATCATGAGTCCATTCATTATGTTGATGTTTTTATATTTTATTAACTCAGTTAATTATTTGTTTTATATTTTCTGTCATTTTGTTTCAAGGCAAGGAAAAATTATTTATACAACACATTTTCATACACAAAGTGCTTAACACAATGCACAAAACAGATACAATATGAAAATGTATACAAAATGCACACAAATAGAAAAAAACATTTAAGTATAACTATATAAAACATTAGAATGCATAATAGATTAAAACATTCAATGCAATTAAATTCAAAGTCATATCTATAATCCAATGAAATAGCAACATAAAATAAGGACTCAAAAAGCCATCAAGCTGAATCCCAACTGCTGTGATACACTGAACAAACATTTTATATTGTAGCTTCACAAAGGCATTAGTTACTGCAGGACTGTTGTCTACAACTTTACTATAGTTTTGTAGGTGTATGCTCTGACCATTGAACTTAACTTCCAAGCACAGAGTTACTGTGAATGACAGCTGTCACAATAGCATTTAAACTTTATCAAATATATGCATACCAGCAGAGATCTCCAACATCACTTCATGCAACAGTGTGTTGTATGTTTGTCTTACTTTTTTTTGAAGTACAACATACAAGGGCAAGATTATTTCTAGGATTTTTGGATTATTACATTCTTTAAAAATTATCATCATATAATGTAATAAAACATATCAAATTTGGCCTTATCTGTACTCACAGCTGCTTTATATACATCATCCATGGCTGCTGGTTCGTCCCTGCCTTACACACACCACTGCACTCACTCAGCTATTGTATATATATATACTGGCAGCAGCAACTGTCTCAGCCTTTATTGTTGGAGGTGTGTGGCACTGAAAAGCTTTTGACCCATCCCACAGAATCCAAGGGTAGCGGAAGGAGGAGTGACAGAGAAAGAGATAAAGAAGGAGAGAGAGCTATATATAGAAAATAACATAAGTAACCTAACAACAGTGGAACACTGACTACAGCACATACTGTAAGCAGAGATGCTTTCGGTATTGTTACCTAATTCCTCCTCACTTCAAGGAAACAATGGTCAGTGATGACTCACAGCCAACCTTTTTTTTTTTTACTCCTTTCTCCCCTCCCTCTGTCCTCCACAATACCCATAAGAAATACCAACACCCCCACGTGGCACCAGCTGTCCTTCCATCGCCCCCTTTTAGATTAGTATAACAGTTTCCAGAGAATCTGACTCTATCAGCTACAACTGAAGATATTGCTTTTCACATTAACATGGGGAGATTACCATACAAACCTTTGTAATCAGGTTTTTGCAGCTATATTGAACATGACTATAGTGAAAACAAGAACATACTCCTATTACTGTGGATAATCATAATTTTACTGTGTCAAAATGCACATTGTTCCTGAATAATGTGTTTCTGCAAGTTCTCATGCAGTCCACTGTCCTTTTTCAAATTTTCAATCTGTGTGCAGGTTCTAAGACATGCCCAGTCTTTGTCAATACCAAATTAGGAGGTACATGTGGGATGGGCACCTCTCTTAAATATGCGCTGTTCTGCCTAAGCTGCTATCCCAGGCATGTCCACCTCATATGACCTAGGTGTGGAAGCAACACCTGCCATTGTCTGTTGAGTGTCTGTAGGCCAAGACCTGCACTGGGTCAGGTGCCCACAAAAAATGATGTGTAATGGGTAAAAAAATATGTTTATATTAATTCATGGGCACAAGCAAAAAATAGACAAAATATGGGTGGGTAGCGAGTGAAATGATTTAAATGAAAAAATAAATAAATGAAGGTGCAACTTCTTTTAAACATCTAGTCCATCATAATTTTAACAAGCCTAAATAATAAACCTATTTATTGTGAAGGTCTGTGGTACACGCTTTGACCCCTCAACTCACATCCAGCTAATTGGGCATCAGTAAGACGTAGGCATCAGTGTGACAAACTGGGTACCGAAAAAAGCGAAAATAGGTAGTGATGAATACAAAATTGTGGATAAATACTCAACTCAACTTTATTTATAGAGCACTTTAACACAGCCAAAGCCAAACAAAGTGCTTAACATAAGATTCAATTTAAAACATATAACACGTGAACAACTACATTAATAAGAATAAAACAATAAAATAAAATAAATGACCCAAGATAGCAAAATAACAAAATACTATCCAAAACCAAAACTCAGCAAACAGAGTCTCATGCCATATCAAATGCCAAGGCATACAAATGGGTTTTCAAGTAAGTTTTAAAAATGGCCAACGAGGGGGCCTGCCTAATGTAAAGCATTCCATAGCTTAGGAGCCACAATGGAAAACGCTCTGTCCCCTCTAAGTTTACGCCTAGCCCTTGGTACCCCCAGCAGGAGCTGGTCAGCTGATCTGAGGCACCAAGAGGGAGTATAAGGAAATAAAAGCTCAAGAAGGTACAGTGGTGCAAGACCATTTAAAGGCTTAAAAACAAATAAAAGAATCTTAAAATGAATCCTAAAGGACACCGGGAGCCAGTGAAGGGATGCCAAAATTGGGGTTATATGCTCCCCCCCCCGCTCATGGCTTCCAGGAGTGACTCACAGCTGTTGTAAATCCCATGATGACAAGTGCAGCTGTAGAACATCTCCTGAGTACAAGTGCTGCTACTTAACACTCAGCCAGACTCCCAGTCAACGCCAGTTCGTTGTATATCTTTGACCACAAAGTTTTGGCTCTTTCAGTAGACAATGAACTTTGCTCTATGAATACTACTTCTTATCAAGTAAGACTGTTTCTTCTTCTTCTGCACATTTTTCAACTGTGTGTCTCTCTGTGGGAATCCAGCCCATCTCCAGCTACCTGGGCTACTCTTCTGCTGCAGCCTCCAGCACAAGCCCCAGACGAAGCTCGCAGCTTCACGATCCCCAGCAGCAACTCACTTGACCAGCACATCTCTGTCTGGGCCTCTCGTCTGCTGCGTCCTCAGCTCGAACTCCTGTCACAGTCCTCCTGCTCTGGCTCGAGCAGACTATCTCTGTCTGCAACAACTCCCTTCAGTACCCATTTATCTGCTGTGAACATTCTGTAATAAAACCACTGTCCATAACCAGTTCTCTGCAGTTTGGTCCCAGCTCATTTCCTCTCCTGCCGTTTGGCGAGAGAGCGATCATAACACTTTGCTGCTTGTAAATAGTGCCTGCAGTTGCAAATCAATTCAGAGAAAATTACTGAAGTGCCAAGAATCATTTATTAGACAATAATAGTGATTATATGTTTTAAAGGCAGGATACAGGATCACATTGTTAGTTTTTATTGTCTTAGTCTCTGCAGAGAGCCCAGTCAGTCAGTCTCTTCAAGCGTTTTCTCCCCAGGTCTTCGTGCACACGCGCACTGACCAACTCCTTTTCTATATTTTATCCAATTTTTGTCCCCCTATTTGCGTCAATTCTCAAATTTACTTCTCGTTTACGAGAACACACTGCAATGTTCTCAATAACAGGAAGGGCTGACTGAACGATTCTCTCAGAGTTCACCACTTCTTCCCCTCCACTATCTGTCTCACTCTCTGCTAAAAATGGCTCTAAGGCCTTCTGAGCAGTGTACCGTTTGCTTATGGTGCTGGACAATTGAAATTGAAATGACACTGCAATCAAGAGCTATTTATATGTAAATATAATGTATAGTCCACGTAGTTTCAGGTCAGCAGCTTTTTTTCTTTTGTCAGTTTTCTTTTAGTAAAAATCTAAAAAAGGGTCAATTTGACCTGGATGCAACACAAGGGTTAAATTAGATTGTATTTACATCTATTAAATGTATTATAAAAATGGTATATGGTATGCATCTCTGCATTTAAAACTGGGTAGTTTTGCAGACATTTAAACTTTAGGTTTTTTCATGTCACTTGCTAAGTTTGCTTAACACCAGTAACACTGAAAGGAATGTTTGTCAAAGTCCTCTAATCTTGATTTACCTATTTTAATTCACCCACTCCATTGATAGAAGCTTGATAAACAATTTAGCACACGAAAATAGTCACAACTGCCTTTATTTGCACAACATAAATTAAAAAAGAACTATGACAATTTCCTTTTTTGAGACATGATGGAGTTGTGGACATGATTCTTTAAATCTTTCCAGTTGCGACTGCCCAGTGCTGGTTCTGCTTCAAGTGCCTTGAGGCAGACCTCTTTACCAGGAACTCTTTGCATAGTGATGCACTGCCCCAGTTGTCGCCACACCGCTGCTTGTTCTGCAGAACTCCATGGCCTGCACTGGTGTTTGTTTTTGCTGAGTAACTGTAGGTCCACAGCTGAAATAGAAATGACAAATGTGATAGACATTCTCAATATTGA